CCCCCCCCCCCCCCCCCCCTCTTCTATGGTTCGTCTTTTCTGCCTCCCTGAGGAAGATGATCCACTGGAATGATCTCAGCTTGTCACATTTGTCGGTGATTGGCCCTCATACAAGTTTAAATAAAACATGTTTAAGTAAACTCAAATGCAGGAACCTCTTAATTTAAAAGAAAATATAAGAAGAATAGCAAAAGATTGAAAAGAAGATGAGCGGTTCTGTGTGCAGAACAACAGCAGTCATTGTGAAGGCTGTGGTTAGACGTCAAAACAGAGGAAGACAGAAAATTCAACTTTAAGGCCTCTCTGGCCCCCGCTGGGTATAAAGTTGATAATTCCCTGAGGGGACTTGGACTTACTCCTCAAACTCTTTCATGTCAATCGCCTGGTTATTCTTGTGGCCGCGTTTTCCCACATTGCACACGGGGAACGTACGGCAAAGTGAGTGATCGTGAGTGTGTCTGAAATTCACAGCATGGGAAAAGGGCACTCCTGAGAAACCACAAACAGGAAGGGAGACACATTCATCACAATTGTCCCCACCTCCCTGCCTCCTCTGGCTACCAAACAAACAGTTCCCAATCCACACGGCCTGCCTGTCTCCATCCCACACTGTAACAATGGCTGCTTCCTGAAGACAAAGGTCACAGTGACGCTGCGAGCAGGAGTGTGTGAAAGCTCAAGATCTGGAAAAACGGAAGAAGCCAAGGTCCGATTTAACATACAGCTATCACTCAGGTACATTTCTTCTTGAGGAGTGTGCACAACAAAAGAGCCGCTTTCACATCGATGTGCACAATTACTCAACGGCATTCATCAACCTGGCGTAACAATCTGAAAATACAGAATCAGAATGAGAAATACTTTAATAATCCCAGAGGGAAATTATTTAATGACTGGTTTGCTGCTTCTTGATTCAGAGTTGCTCAGTTTAAGGTAAAAAGTTTGGAGAAACTGTATGGAAAAGTGTCTCCCAACTGTGGATGTTTATCTGTGGAACCACTTCACCACATTTATTTTATCATGAGCCACAAGATAATCTTTCCAACAGAAAATACTGAACAAAAGAAAGAAAAAACATGTTTATTCTATCATTTTAGAGGGATTCAACTTTAATGTTTCATTATAAAAACAGCATTGAACTTTCTGACATTTTTGGGAAGGTATTAAGTCGACTTTGCTGTTTGGACACACACCATTAGAGAGCCTACCTAACAAAAACAGCCCCACATCAACCTGCACGCTTGCAGGCTGTATAAAAAGCACTAAACATGATGGATGCGGCACTTCTTCAACCCTCTTCTTGCAGGGTTAGCATGGGTTCAGATACCATATTTTGAGTTTCCATTCCACAGCATGGTGGTATATTGCAATCCTTAAATGTGAGAGTATTTCCTTCATCTGACAGCACGTTTCCCTGGTTTCATGCTCATAAATTACACTGTTATCTCCAGTAACTCTCCCTCAGAACACACAAAGACATGAAAAACAGTTTTGTTCGTAATCAGATGACACACAATATGTTTTCTGACATGGGTGTTTAGCAAAAATAAGCTACTCAACACAGCCATTAGGTTTAACTTGCTGTCAGATGAAAAACACTAATAACTGTCGCTAATTTTTCAAAGTGAGGCTCCTACCTCCCTGTGATTTTGTTTTGTTTTTTTATTTTCCTTTTCTCTGAGGTCATAAGCAAAGCTACTGGTCCGTTCCTTTCACTTGTCAAAAGTTTCGTCATACCCCCACATGAGAGCATATTCCCCAAACACATCCCCCTCTCAACGTTTGTTCATGCTGGCTGACTTTAACTGATCTTAAAGGAGTATGTGACCTCTAGTGGTCTTTAGAGAAAAAGGCACGGGAAATCTTAAA